CCTAAGATGAAGCTTGACTTGCTCACATTTACTTTTTTTTTTTAACACAGCGTTCGTTCTTTTTTACTTAAACTAGTACCAAACAAAGACCGTAGGGGATGAACAAGGGACCTGAGTATAGGTTCATAGCAAGTAGAGGGGGAGTACCGAAACTTCAGTATGAAGAAGAAGTCCCGTACCTTTTGAATTAGTCATGCCCTGTCTGCTTGTCTTAAGGTTTTAGGTAGTTTACGTTTTACAGTCGTTCCCCCCTCTATGTTAAAATTAATATTTAACTTTGTATTGTCCTAAGTTACCTCGAAGTTATAACTTATGGTATTCTTTTTGTTTTCGTCTCCATTCTAAAATAAGATGAAGTAGGTGTTTGAATGAAAGGCACGTAACAGTCTTTTAATTTTTTTTGTGTTGCGTAGAACGTAATCTTATATGGTCCATAGTGTCTTAACTATCGTACTATTTCGATTACACACTTTACATATTACTGTCCATTATATAGAATTTGTTTAATGTATATATAATACTAAGTATAGTATGACAATTGAGTTATTATATAGACAATCTTTGTATAGTTATAAAGGTTTTCGAATATTTACCTGATGGTTAAGATAAATCATATTAACGTTAAACCATAATTATATAACACGTTGACAACTCTATCCGTGCGGCTGGTACTATCTTTCGTTTGGGTGTCATGCGTCTGTGACATTACCACCTGTCTTACACCCGTTCACTAATAGGTAGGGTGTGTGCATAACCAGGCAGCCTCGCGGCGGGGGTCAGTTCGTCGTCCGAGTCTCAGTCCCGACTTCGCCGTGGAAGACCTCCCCAGGAACCTCCACAGTCCATTGACCTGACGTGGAGTCGGTGCCTTTCAGTGTCCTCTACTTAACCCGTGCTATGATGCAGGAAGTAAGGCCTGATACAGTACGGTCTTACGATACGGCGGAGTAGTGACAGCGGAGAAGACTAGAGGATAAGGGGTGTTGCAGCGGCCTCGCGATGGGAGTCGATTAAGGACGACGTGCGCAACAATAATTTTAGGTCTATTCAGCTCTAGCTGTCTGCTAGATTATTTCGTAAATACAAACAAAAGTCCGAGAAATATATGTTATATGGAGACCACGAATACCACCGTTCCTTTAAGAATGAATATAAGTTTGTCAATATATATAAAATAGTATAGAAGAAAATGTCTTCTTTTTGTCGTATCAACTAATGAGTTTACCCTCATACTACCTTATTTAGTACAAGTAAATGTTCCGCCTACATAAATGGTGGTTGGAACCGGAATGAAAATTGCATATCCTGTACAGATGCGGGGTACGGTCATACTACATTATATATTAACCTATACCTTAAGTTGTGAATGAACTTTACAGTCTTGGATAAATACTGATGACGTGCTTGTATTAATGTGGTTAAATTACATGTGGAATCTATGTATTATTACATGAGTATCTAAGACTCCTTGTGTGTGTGATAGACCATCCCTTGTGTCCTTGAATGCGAAATGGTCGGTAACTGTTACGTGTTCTTTGGATATAATGTGTTGATGTCCTTTACTTTTGGTTTTTCGTATTGACTGGAGTTAAATTTTTTATTCTACTGTGAACAATTAACATTTACTTTCTACGGTGTAAACACTGACGGTTATGTTTGTTTTATTTTTTCCACTGTTTGTTTACGTATTTAATACATCGTACTGAAAAACTTACACATATCCATATGCCATTATTAAAGAATGGCATCATTGGAGTAGGACGAGACCGGAGTCGCTGATACATACAGGAGGTAGAGAGACGTTCTCGACCAGACTTGGTAGTAGTCCGGACGTCCGACGCGCGCCACGGTGTCGGTCGTCTGAGATGCGCGGTGGGCTGGCGGTCCAAATTGTATCAACCGTGCCCCTACCAGCCACAGTTGTCACTCGTACACCTTACCTCGTCTCGACCGCGTACGATTACTGATCGAGAGGTTGGTTCGATCGTCTAGGTCCCTTTACGACCTTTGCTTTTAGTACTCAATTATTGATGGTTTTTGAGAGCGGTTACAGTATGGTCTAAATGTATTGTGTGTGAGTCTATTGTTACAATGTTCACAAGTGTTGAATTTCTAATGAACAATCTAATTTTTTACTATTTGACTATTTTATGATATATCTGTTAATGTCATGTTACGTATTTTATGTATAAATGTTCTTTTTGCTCATTAAAGTCGAAGTAACTATCAACAATTCCACATGTATATTCACAATAAGAATATGATGATAAATAATATATAAAATGACCATAATCAAATGCAGTGGCCCGAAGGCACCGGTTGCTGAATTTCCGCTGTATCTCTAGTTCATCTCTCGCTTTGAAGCACAAGGTATAAAGGCGAGAGAACATTGAGAGTCGAGATTAACCATCTTATCTTAATTAAACAGTACGCCGGGACATTATATGAACGATATAGTACGTGATAAAGAACAACAGGATGCGCGACACCACACATTATCCATAACCTGATGGGTGAGTCGAGGCTACGGACGAAGGCGGAACTTGAAACTTTATAAGTTATGCTGAGTTCACCTTTTTCTTGAGCACAGAGAAGAAAGGAAATGTCTCTGGGGAAATGAACATCGAAGGTACCATACATAGTCGACTTCTCGCAGTTCAATGGAAAGAGGGTAACAGCGGTGGTACGAGATCTACACATCCCCGTTGCTATCTATATGTCAAAGTGGAGAGGGGGAGGGGGGGTGGGTCGGTGTGTAGCAGCGCAGCGAAGGGCTGCGCTGCGCTGCTGGCTTCCTCCAAGTTTACAGTAAAACAAACTGGTGGTGTGACCAATGGCCATTTACAATTATTAATACTATTACTATTATTAGCATTAGTCTATATTTTGGTTGAAACTAAGCCAGGAAAAAAAGAAAAAAAACATAAATAATAATAAAAAAATATATAAATAAAATCGAATTTTAAAAATAATTTTCGATTATGGAGACTGTAACGAATAATCGAATAACCGCTGGCATCCCTACTCTATATACACTATACCCTGATACTTGACGCTGTGATGTCTCTATTAAGCAGTTCACTGATCTGATTTGACGACACAGAGAATTGTGCCAAGCAAAAAACTAGATGTATACACCATCAGCACAATACCTAGTCCTATGTTGGGTTGCAGTGGCTTGTGGTTGAAGGTAACCAAGTATATATATACAGGCTATATATACACAGGCACTGTACTCAAGTAGAAGTTAAGGTGTGTATGTTTCTATTTCTAGAATGATTGGTGATAGATTCTATTTACAAAAGGGATCCTTATGAAGCCCCTAAAGCAGGGGTGTCAAACTCAAGGCCCGGGTGCCAAATCCGGGCCCGCAACTTCATTTATAATATATTTATTATACGGTTACATGCCGCTTTACAGAAGCACATTGCCCATATACTACATGTCCCACGATGCATCTCAAATTAGAATTTCTTTCTCGGAATTAGATTTTTTTTTTTTAAATGTTACTTTTTTTTCAAAATCTCACTTTTTATTGTATTTTTTTCAGAATTTGGCTTTCCTTTTCAAATCATTTTGTGACATGCTCACTGAAGAGACTTGTAATAGTTTGCCCTAGACTTATGCTTTCAGACGTAGTTAATTATTAAGTTATTACCCTATCCGATAATAATCCAATGCAGAGGCAATAATGTCATATAATACATTATTTTATATATATTAAATATTTATAAATGTATTCTTATATAGGCTTGTATATAAAACTGGCCCTTTGAGTGCAACCATGATACTAATGTGGCCCAAGTTGAAATTGAGTTTGACACCCCTGCCCCAAAGGGTCATGAAGAAAAAAAAAGTATCTTGTGCGCACGATATACTTTCTCTTGCGCACGCAAAAGTTACCGGTTCGCCAAGTAGGAAGTGGAGCACACAGGAGACGACCGTTTCATTGCAGACTGTTATGTTTATGTGGGGAAATAGCAGTGCATACATTATTTGAGATGTATTTCATACTCAGACTTCATTTTAAGGACATTTCGGCCAGGGGTGTAGAGATATTTGTTTCAGACCAGATTGTCAGGAGAGTCTGCCTTGATCTATGAATTCATGTCCGTGACTCTCACAGTATCTGCTGCCCACAGCTGTTTGATAGAAGGAAAACCCCCTTCACTTCATGAAATGGCTGCAGCACCAGGACGTGTAACTCAGCCTCTGAGAAGAGCAGCACCAGCTGCAAAGAGCTGTGCCTTTTACGCACCGCCTTCACTGTGTTTAAGTTCATCAGAACAGCTAAAGAGCGACCGCAGGCTGCTACGTTTTAACCACACACACCTCTACACACACACACACACACACACACACACACACACACACACACCTCTACACACACCTCTACACACATCAAACTGCCCGATTAGTACGCCATTTTATTATAAGGAGATATGTATAAATTACTTTTCATGGTCATTTGAAAACAAATGCCGGTGTCGGACACACACACAAACACACCGAATACATAGCGGAGCTGAGCAGAGCAGAGCACAAACACACACACATCATGCGCCTTGGTGACCGGACATCTCCTTCATAAAATGAGTAATAGGGGGAATAATCTGGCAGTTCGATGTGTGTGGTAACGTAGCAGCCTGCGGTCGCTCTTTAGCTGTTCTAATGAAGATAAACACAGTGAAGGCGGTGCGTAAAAGGTACAGCTCTTTGCAGCTGGTGCTGCTCTTCTCAGAGGCTGAGTTACATGTCCCGCTGCCTCCTGGTGCTGCAGCGTTTTCATGAAGTGAAAGTGCTCTCCTCTGGTCTTAAACAAATATCTCTACACCCCTGGCCGAAATGTCCTTAAAATGAAGTCCGAGTTCGAAATACATCTCAAATAATGTATGCACTGCCATTTCCCCACATAAAAATAACAGTCTGCAATGAAACGGTCGTCTCCTGTGTGCTCCACTTCCTCCTTGGCGAACCGGTAACTTTCCCGTGCGCGAGAGACACTTTTTTTTAGGCGCTCTGTAGATCCTAGCACGTTAGTGCGTCAATATTTAGAATCTAATAATATATATATATATTTTTTTTTATTATTCTGGAATGAGCTAGTCTTCATAATGACTGCTTTAGCTTTCGATCGTCTCCAATCAAAGGATTCTAACAACAACATTAGTAATAAAAACCAGCACTTATACTTGTACTACACTTTCTCAGTTTTCCAAATATTTGAATGGTTATGAGCTGAACCCACTTTAACACTGCGTTGTTGTTTGATGACCAACAGAATTGACTTGTTTCTGCTCACCCTGTTTTAATCTCCAGATTTTGTCTGGGACAGTACCAAGCAGAGTGCCTGACAGTACTGGAGGCAGTGTTCAGTCTGCCCCCCCCCAACTGGCAGAAGTAAGACTGAAATACAATTCAAGCTTTCTATAGTTACCTCAGTTTATGACAGATGACATTGATAACAGTAAAAAATCATTTTTTTGTTCAGATCTGTGTACTCCTTCGGCCACTGCAAAAATAAGATTGATAATAATCACAAATTAGTGCTTTGTGTAACGAAAATGATCTATATCTAATCAACAAAAAATGCTGAGAAAATGATCTGAAAATCCGTTCTAGTGCCACCTTTAGGCCAAAATGTTCAAACCATCAGAGGCACAGCTTACTGCACTTAATAAGTAAATATTAAGATTATAGTTGCATTTTACCAGTATAATGTTTTTATCTTTACAGGATATTTAACAGGATTTTACACTGCTTAAGTTCATCAATTTTCTGGTTTCTCAGTTTATCTCTGTTTTTAATACTTTTATTTTATTTTATTACACACATTTTAAATCTTATTGCCTCACTTTTAATAATTGTGTAGGGTTTTAATTAGATTTCCCTCTCTATTTGACCACATTTGATACATTTCTCCTGTTAATATGTGGCTGTGACCATATATCACTGTACTTCAGTCATGGTTAAAGCTGTGTCGTTTTACATGTGATGGCGTTCATAGCTGGATTGGAATATTGATTCATGATGATGGACAAGGATGCTAATGTTAGCCTCAGTGAGGTCCCGTAACCCAAAGTGAGCCAGACAAGTTGAACTAGCTTTTAAGTAGAGGCCCAGCATTTATTTGATCATACTGTAACAGTTAACATTTGTTGTTAAAAATGTATATTGCTAAATAATAATAGTGGTCTCATAAGTGTCCCTCACTGTGTCCTCACTGTGTCCTCAGCCGTCTGTCTCTGCTCCTGAAGGAAAGCCCTGCCCACAGTCTGCTCTGTTCCAGCTCGCCGAGGTAAGGGCAGTCTTCACACAGTTCATCTTAAGTAACGCTTTGCAGCTTTTTAAAATAACCATGAGAGCATGCCATTTAGCTGATGGCACTGTCACATCAGCATTCTATCACCACAGAGAATACAAGATTTAAAAATGTGACAAACCTGACAAAGGTGACTTGTTTATAAGTGTCACATCTTCGTCTGGAAAACAGTCAATATTTGCTGAAAGCAGACAATGACATTTTGTTACTTTTGATCATTTTAAGCCTTATATATGACCTTTGATCCATTTCATACATGTTTCCTTTTATCCATATACTCAACAGCACAGGATATAGTTAAAGATGAACTGTATAAATCATAATTAATTGTTTCACAGTAGGTCCACATATAAGTATATATATATACTGTATATTTGCATAGAAAAAAACAAGATTTGTTAAGGGCACTTAAAAAAAAAGATGGGAGAAATAAATAATTCAGTCTTGATTAAAAAAAGCTAGAGATATTACACAATGCAATCAGTAGACATTTTTGATCTATTCAGAAATCAAATATAGGATTTAAATGCAGAGATGTATAATTGGTAGCATAGACTGTTTTAATGTTATATTTGTCTTTTGTTTGCTAAGATGTGCTTAGCCTCTGAAGCTGGACAGATGGACCCAGTGGGGTCTCAGCCTGAGGTCTGCCCCTCCACAGCCGCCCCTCTGCTAACTGAGATCAAGGAGGAGAGAGCCGACTGGGACGACGGTCCCCCCCCCCCTCAGACATCACTTCTACCTTTGCTCTCCTCTGATGCCATTCCCCCACAATGCAGCAGCCAAAATGCACGTGTCAAAACCAAGAGCACGAAAAAAGAGATGGCCAAGTCAAATGATAATGTTGAGATACCTTCCCCAGCAAAGAAAATCCTCAAGAAGTGTAACCATGCAGAGTCAAACGTGGACAGTGTCTTCAGTACAATTGAGGCAGTGGCCAAAGGGGTCTGGAAGGACACCGAGGAGACCCCCAAGAAGAAGATCCAGGGAAGTCCTAGTGCTGGTAACTCAGCTGTGCTCAAAAAGAAGAATAAGCCCAAAGTCAAGACCTTTGTTCAAGTAAAAGAGGAGGAGATGGAGGAAGACAGCGGGCAGTGTGGGCAGACCTCTTCTTCTGAGGTAGAAATTAAGGAAGAGATGGCCGACGTCTGTCCCAAACAAGACGCTGAAGAAGATAGTTTAGGAAGCACGGGTCTTCAGAGCTGCATGGAAGAAGCCCCGCAATCCCCCTGCAGCCCCTCACCTTCTAAGCTAAGAGAGGAAGACAAGGGGAAGGAGAGGTCGGGTGAAGGGAACTGCGACTCCACCGCAGAGCACCACGGCTCCAGGAAATCAGAGCGGAGCTGCAAAGGCGCCTTGTACAAAACGCTGGTTTCTGAAGGAATGCTGACTTCACTGAGAGCCAACATAGACCGAGGTATCCATTTGAATTCAAGAAAACACCAATGATTACATATGAGGCATAATCTAAAGCTAATGTTACAAGCCTGTGTTTTTCATGTAGTTAATTAATATGAATGAATAATAATAATAACACGTTTATTTAATATAGCACCTTTCAGAGAAATACAATTCACAAAGAAAAAAGTAAAAAATAAGACCACAGAAACATGAAGATCATAAAAACATATGCCAGAAGTTAAGGTCAACATAAAAACAAAGCACAGGCAACAAAGAGCCCCAAAAGGAACAAACAAAAATAACCTAACTTCACACACATTACACACATTACACACATTACACACATTACACACACACACACACACACACACACACACACACACACACACCCACATCTCAAGGAGACACATAGGCCAATGTAAAAAGATGGGTCTTCAGTTGTTTTTTAAAAGCTTCTACAGAGACTGCAGACCAAATGTCTGTATGGAGGGAGTTCCATAGTGTTGGAGCCACCACTTAAAAGGCACAGTCAGTTTTAGTTTTAAACGAGGCCGTGGAACAGTCCCCTAGGTCTGAAGACCTAGGGGACATACTGGTGATGTAGGGATGGAGAAGGTCACGCAAGTACTCAGGTGCTTGTCCATGCAGGGCTTTATAAGAAATAACAAGAACCGTAAAAGGAATTCTTAACCGGATGGGGAGCAAATATAAAGATCTTGAAATGCATGTAATGTGAGTCATCCTGCTGGACCTGGTTAACAGTCTTGCAGCAGCATTCTGGACCATTTGGAGACGGTTTTGTTTGTAGCATTTATTTAACCAGGTGAAAGCCCCTTGAGATCAAAAGATCTCTTTTTCAAGGGAGACCTGCGGTTCAGGGATGACTTGCTGAGACACGTGAAAATGGAGTTACAATAATCCAGCCGGGATGATATGAAAGCATGAATGATCCTTTCAAGCTCTACTTGATCTATTTCTGTTTGTCTGAACTGTTGTTTGTTCATGCGTCCTCAGGTAAGCGCGGTGCTTTACGTGCTTCTGATCATGATGCCAACTGGAGTGATGACAGCTGGTCAGTTTCTCAGACGGGACCTAATAATCCCAAAAAGCTGAAAAAGTCCAAGTCCAAAGATGAGAGTTCTCAAGGGTGAGTGACGTCTCCTTTTTTGTAATTGTTGTACCTTAGCATATATTACAAGTTTTTCAACATGTGCTGAGAATCTTTTTCTCTTTTTTTCTTTTTGTAAATCTACACCAGTCAGTAATTACAGAAGCTGCTCACACTTCTCGTGTATTTAGCTCGTGCAATGAAGCAATGTTCATACAGGGTTTTTCTTTTAAGATTTAAAAAATACATTCCCTGGTCTGGTTCTTCTGATTGTGGCTCTTTGTGCACTATGGGTCTTAATAATGTGGTAGTCACAACCTCTATTATAGCAATGTGAAAAAATTGTGACTCCAAGATCACAGAACTCATTGAGAAGTTTGTCTCTGAGTGCGACCTAGAGTAAATCCATACAGCAGCTCCTGGATCAGCTTGAGTCTCCACCTCTGGGTCAACCAGCCAGCTAACAGAATGCAGTAACAACAGACTAGTCCAATTTCTAAAGCAAAATTGGCTGTGTAAAGTTAAAATGGCCCATGGTCACAATTGTGAATCACAGCCAGGTTAAAACGTCCTGTACATCTTTGTGATATGTACAGGTCAGTGATCTAATCCGGTCTGTCACCTGCATGTCTGTATGCTTTCAATTATTATTAAATCGCTAACAACCTACTGCGCCTCCCGTAATATAAATCCCACCAGTTGATGACACTTTGCATTTTAACAGTATCACAGTCTTACTGAGAAAAAATATATTGTTGACCTGATGGTCAAATTAAAAACAGATTATTAACACCGACATCCAGGCAATTAATGTGATGAAGAAACGCACACTAAGAGAAAAAGCGCACTAATAATGTCATGTTGCAGGGGATTTCTTCATGTTTATATTAAACATGTATTCAACAGTTTCCTTGCCATTTCTTAGTGTAAAAGGATAACAGGCATTCAGAAATGGCCCATTGAGTAGTTTGTGTAAACAATCTAATTACCATAAAATATTGTTTAGCGATAATAATAATATTGAATAAAAAATTGATCAAGCCCGCTGGTGATGAATGGTTTTCCTGCAGCAGACCTCTTTATACAATATTAGCTCCTGCAATTTACCAAATGCACTCATAATATTCTGTCCTGTTAAAATCAGCCTTTCTGCTTCTCCTGTCTTGATTATTTTTCTAAAGTTAATTAATCATTTCTTCAGGTAATATATTATACTTAACCTAAACGTTGCATGAAGAAAACATGTACCGTTGATACGCAAACTATGCTGCATACATTCTGAATGAATTGTATTCAGTGCGTGTAATTGAGGAGGAAGGTGTTTGATCCTCTGTCTGTTTGCCCTGCAGGACCAAGATACTGCTTTGTTTTAATTGTTAGGCAAGGCTATTGATTAGATGCTCAGTTGTGTGAACTCTAAACTTTGCTTGTCAGCCTGGGGAAACTGGAGGAGGAGTTTGAAAGGAAGTTTAACAGCCTGCCACAGTATAGCCCAATGACATTTGATAAGAAGGGGACTACTGTCGTAAAGAAGAAGAAGACTGACAGCCCCAGCGTCCAAGAGGAAGTCTCTAAAGCCGGGAAAGGTAAAAACAACAATAAACCAAAACAATTAATGTTGTTTAATACGCTTTCATCTCATCCATGTCCCACTCTGCACCTGTTTTTAGAATCATGTTTTTCACCGGTAGTGTTCCGAGCACATTTTCCCCTTGTTCAAGCAAAAACATTTCAACTACATTAAATAACATAACATTGCCATGCTCTTTTTTTCTTATCTTTTTTTTTGTCGTATCAGGATCATCTCCATCTCAGAAAAAGACTTCATTCCACAAGATTGTTAGGAAGCAAAAACACAAAAAGGAGAAACCAGGTGCAGTGGACAAAGGTGAACTAGAATGTTAATCTTTGAGCATAATGACGTAGGAATATTTGTTTTATAGCTATATTGCTGATTCCTCTTGCAGTTGCTTATTCTTACATTTATAAAAAAATGTCTTCATTATTGCTTTAAAATATCCTTTGGTGAGAAAAGCGACTTACATTTTCAGAATGTACCTTTACAGCCCAAAAAAGTCCTTAATTTGCAGTAAATAACGCTGTAACAACTCGTAATTCATGTTATACACTCACATGATTCAACTCGCACTCTTAATACAATATGTGCAGAGGTAAAATCATTGAATTGTCCTCTGACCTTTTCCCAACCACAGGGCCACTGAGTGATTCCACCGTGCTGGATTCAGCTACAAAAGCCAAATCCTGTGCCCCCGTTGCCATAATGTGCCCGGATGTCCAGGGTACCAATAGTATGGAGATGCTTGTTGGTAGCCAGAAGAGAAAGGCAAGAAAGACCAAGATCACACACTTGGTGCGCACAGCTGATGGCAGTGTGTCTCCTGCTGAGGGTGAGTGATGATATTGATCAGTGTTGGATTATAGGGTCTGTCTCGTGTCTAAAGAGTCCAAAGTTTGATTACCACTGTATGTTAAAAAAGCATTTGAAACATCATGAAAACACAATTAAACTTTAAAGGTGCATGGTCACTACTGTCATGTTTGATGAAAGAATACAAAACACAATATTTTACCTCCTGTTTAGACTGCAAGCATGTCAGAGAAGTTTTTCACTTGTCTCAAGCAACAGGTAAGAACTGAGACACCTCGCGGACTCAATGGCCTAGAAACATGGACCATTCTAAAAATAGCCACTACATTAGGTCAGGAGAGACTTTGTGGGGATAACAAGTTGATAAAGAGGACTCATTTCTGGAACTGTTGGATGGGACATGGCTGTACAGAAGCTGCGGTAGAAACCAATGGGATTTTTTGGGATTATTGAATGCCATCATGCCTCGTGCGGTAAGAGCTGCTAGACTAGCCGGGGTAGAACTACTAGCTGAGGGTGGCCTTCCCCCTGCACAGTCGACTCCAGCCCAACCTACCCATCCTAGGCGTTGGGCCGCAGAGGCTGCGGGTGCCCCGCCCAAGAAGAGGACTAAGCCTGATAGGCTGTCCTCCAGGGTGGACCTGCTCACTACTGAGCTAGCCCAGATGAAGTCACTCCTCCTGGCTCTCCATTCTGGTGCCCGTACAGAGCACGCCGCTGCACCTAATCCACCCATTACTGTTAGCTGGTGGTCTCGATGGCAGCTTCAGCCACTAATTTTAATGAGTATGACGAAGAGGGCCCATCCCATGCTTCTGGGCCTGGCTCCTGTCCCTCAGCTCATGGATCCTCGGAGGGGGCAGATGACGGCTCCATGGGTGCCGTCATTCGCATGGCACTGGCTCGCCAGCAGCTGGATGTACGGCAGCCAGAAACAGCGCCTGCCAGTGCGTTCTTCAGGCGCACTCTGGCACCCGCCACCTTTACCGTTCCTCCCTCTTGTGAGTATCTGAGGGAGTTACATGCATGCTGGAGGGACACTAAGGCCTCAGCGTCCCACGAGGGGGCCGGCCCGCTACCAGCGCGGTCAAGGCAGCCTCGGCATCCGGTGCCTAACCGTCGCCCCCCCCCAGAGCCTCCAGAGGCCGGGGGGCAAGGTACTGAGGGTCTGGAGCGGGCTGTCGGTTATTTCTCCAAGCAGCAGCTCAACTACTGGGTAGCTCAAGCTTCAGACCCCTGGGTGGTTTCCACCTTAACCCAAGGGTACAAGCTTCAGTTCCGACGCCGGCCCCCAGTCTTCAGCCGGGTCAAGATGACCACCTTAAGCGACCCGGCAAAATAAATCGCCCTAAACCAGGAGCTGTCAGTCCTCCTTGCCATGGGTGCAATCAAGCCTGTAAACCCCATCTCACAGCCCGGGGGCTTCTACTCGACCTACTTCCTGGTAAGGAAGAAAGGCGGTGGACTTCGCCCAATCCACGATCTGAGGGGACTCAACAAGTTCCTAAATATTTTACCTTTCCATATGCTGAGCACAGCGGACGTTCTTCGTACCGTTGCCGGGGGGGAATGGTTCTCGTCCGTCGACTTGAAGGACGCTTATTTTCATGTGCCTATTGTGCCTCATCATAGGCAGTTTCTTCGCTTTGCCTTCAAAGGCTGTCATTTCCAGTTCAGGGTGCTCCCATTCGGACTCTCCCTCTCCCCAAGGGTGTTCACCGGGTGTGTCGCGGCAGCCCTGCAGTCTCAGGGTATGAAGATTTTGCCATACTTAGACGACTGGTTGATCTGTGCACCATCCCGGTTGCAGTCGACCAGGCTCTCCTTCTCTCTCATGTCGCCCGGCTAGGCCTCAAGGTGAACATGGAGAAGAGTTGTCTGAACCTCTCTCAGAGCCTATCCTTCATTGGTGTGGCTCTGGACACAGTCACTATGCGGGCCTGTCCATCTGCTCAGCGCCTGGACGACATCCTCCAGCTTCTTCCCCTCTTCAAAAGGGGTTCGGACAATCTAACGGGTTCTCCGCCTCTTTTTATTATATAACG